GGTTCTTTTGAAATCTCCCCTCCTGCATACTGATCCACCTTTTATCATATGATAGAACTTCATCAAAATATCCACAGCACTTAATGTTTGAGACTCCTTCATGTCTTGTGTCCTTTTACTCTCTCGCCCACTACTCCCAGCATTTGCAAGTAACAGCCTGGATCTGATCTTCAGTGGCAAGGGGCACCTGCATTGAAAGCTGCTGCTTGTCCTTCTGAAGACCAGCTGCAGAGAAGAAAAGAAACACTAGAGAGGCTGCTCAGAAGCTAATAACTTACAGAAAACGTGTGAGCAGTCCAAGCCTAAAGCCAGACAGCTTGTGAGACTTTCTCACCACTGTTTATAGTCCTGTAGGCTTTTAAGGTTCACTTGGTCAGTGATTTTCCTGAATAGGAAGCTGACTTTACCACCTTTCTCCCAAAGGCTCAATCAAGACGGTGCTATGCGGTCACTGCCTGGGGCCTCTGCCGTACCCGTTCTTGACATTTAAGATACAAAGATTAAGCTGTCATTCTTCCGAATTTAAGTCTTAACATTAACATTTCTATTTGTGCTCTCTGCTGATGGGTGAGTTTGATATTCTTCCCCTACTGGGTCTCTGGAGTTGTTATAAATCAAGCAGAAAAAATATCCACAGCTTGGGGGGATAATTGAGGTCCGATTCCCCGAGAGTTCAGGGCTATCCCCCTCCCTTGGGTAGAAGGCAATGCAATGTAGATCACGCTGTGCACGTTTTACAAGTTGTATTTTCCATAAGTGGATTCTCAGATTGGGTGCTAACTTCTGCAAGGTTGTCTTGCCCTTGCTGTTCAGTAGTCATTCACTCTGCGCCAACATTGTTCATCAAGGTGTTGACCATAAACTCCATGAACTCTTCTACTTGTCTGCCGTTGCCTTTTCTTCCACAGCCAAAACGTCTTGTAGAGTCAGTGTGAGAACTGTCACTCGTGTGCCTTCCCTTTGCTCAAGACGACTGTGCAACGACTGTGGTATTCCGCTGGTAAAGCGAGAGTGAGGGGTGTAGCTGTCCCACAGCTCGAATCTGAACCGTACAAATCACCATCTAATATACTGCGTGGCAGGTTTGGTAAGCGTTACTGCTTGTTAACAGATTTGGTGCACATCATATACAAACCAGGTATGCTCTTGCCATGTTTGGGAATTATTCTGGCCTGCAGATGATTCCCCCCCGCCCCCCCCCCCTGCAGTATAGATAGTATCAGTGCATTCACCTTCATTTCACTGGACTGCAGGCCCCTCAATAGCCTTCAGTGCAAGCATTATTCAGCCCAGCACGGCAATCTCAGCAGTAGCAGACAACTTCCCTTCTACTTTGTCTTTCAGTGTTTGCACGGTCAGATAGTCTAAGTTTTTACACCTGCGAGCGTGGACTTTGTTTAACATAGAAAAATGCTGTTTATATATGCCCTGGCTTGTATTCTGTATCCTTCCGTCCTGTACAAGAAATGTTCAACTTTGCATTAATTCCCAATTTGTATAATGGTCCCAGATATTCTTTGTCAAAATATACAAAGATTAAAGCTCCAGTTTGTTGAATGGATTTGTAAACCTTATGAAGTATGCGCTTTCAGCAGCTGGATATCTTTCTTTAAACAACCGTGTTCTTGATATGAGAGTGGTTTTTATTGCCCCCTTCTGCACAAACAGTTTTTGTGACTCTGCCAAGCTCTATCATGGAGTGCCATAGTCTATATGGAACCAGTAGTGAAAGGAGATGGGGAGGGATGGGAGTGAAAATCTGTCAGAGCCACCAGGAATTCACAACCTCCAGCTGAGTATTGACCCTGCTTTCCCTTCCTCCCTCTTGATTGATTGATTTGGAACAAGTTAGGCCTTGACTTCTAGAGATATCAGGCATGCAACTGAATTTGAAGCTAGTGAGCAGGAGCTGCAGACATTCAGTAACCAAAACCCATCCTTTAAATAAATGCTTTGTATTGTTTTAGTCATTATAAGGCCTTTTTTTTTTTTTTTTCTCCTGAGGCACTGAGAGGGGTGTTGCAGCTTAAATCCATAGCATGTCGATAGAGTCGTTGCACACTAGGGCTTGCTTAGATGGTTGGAGTGTGATGTTACATCTCATTACTGCATGACCGTCTTTTAAAATACTGATACAATTAAAAATGTTCAATAACATCAGTAGCTTGTTTTTAGTGATTTGTCATGGATGATCAAAACTAACAGTGTCTTATCTAGATCCCGCTAGATGCAGTGGAAAAAGATTATTTCTGGGTTAAATGTACTTTGAGCTGATCCCAGAAGTATCAGAGGAAAGATATCTGTCCTAGTTTATAAGTTAAGGAAGGTCAGACTCTCGTATTTATGCTTATGGACTATTTAAAAAATCTTTGCAGTACATCGTGGACACGTTGCTTCATTCCAGTTTTAATTGATTTGATAAGCCTGATTCAACTACACTACTCTCAAAAAATCTGGTTAAGAAAAACAGCGCTTTGGCAGGTCAGCGAGATGTTTCCTTCTTCGGGGTAGGCACAGACCGACCAGGAATGTACCTTTTCATGCCATATGTATTTTTAGTTCTAGGTCTGGCTTCTAACACATGCAGGAACCCCAGTGTAATACTGAATTGTTGCCTTTTCAAATAGATGATGCAGATTATCCAAACTGATAACATTCGGTGGTTCCCGAATCTGAGCTTTAGGAATGTGCAGTTTTACATTTAATAATGCAGTACTGGGAAAAACTGGGAACTCCAGTTTGTTGACCATTTTTAAAGCAACCGCAGATGGAAAACAAACTTAGAGATGTGATTGAAAGCTCCTTGCTCAGAGGTTAGGAAATACCAGATTAACTACAGTCTGAAAGAGTTTGATTCGACCATCTTGTGTACGTGCCCAGTCTGCTGTTACGCGGTCACGTTGCCGGTTTGGTACTGAACCCCCTGTTCATCCCCTGCCCCGGTGCATCCTAGTTGTATGATGCTGTCTTAACGAGCTGGCCAATATTTTGTGTTATCTCGTTGGCCGCTTCTGAATGCCTTCCTTTGTAAAGTGTTTAAAAAAGTAAAAGTGAAGTGTGCTATGGAAGTTCTAAACCACAGACTCAGCTTTTTCTCAAAGTTACCCGTGATCAGCCTCAGGTGAAAAAATATACCTCACTGTCACCCTCCTGGCTTTCACCCAGGCAAAAGTCTCCTGTGTTGACTTAAAGTTACATGATCGTTTTTAAAACAAAGGTAACCCCCTCAAAAACACCGCAAACCCAACCAAACAAAAAACCACAACAACCAAAACCGCACAACTGAGAGAAGATCTAAGACGGGTAGCAGAGGATTTCGGCAGTGCTGCCGAGGTGGACGTGCACGTGTGACTCTGTTCTGCTGGTAATAGCTGTTTCGGTTATTTCAAGAAAACCTTGCAGTTGCCAGTGGTGTGTGTGTGTGTATATATATATGTATTTTTTTTTTTCTTCAATCAAACCATTCTTTTGATTTTCTTAATTACCTTGGTACACAGCTCATAGTATTTTGCCTTCATTTATGCAGATTGAAATCTTTTTTTCCCCCAGCTGGGACGCTTGTATCAGCTGTAATACATTTGTGATTAAAATCCTTCAGGGTTTTTTCAGTGACTGGTGTGTATGTATCAAAGAGGAGGCTTGTGACAGTGGTGCTGTGCTCCAGCAGCAGCGGAGCGGCTGTAGATACAAGTCTACGTCATTAAATAAGGTGTAGTGGGAACGAAAGAGAATAATGCTCTCAATGTTGTCTTGATCAGAGCGTTAGCTTAAGGGCATGTGAGTTTTCTTTCTGTTCAACGTGCACCATGCGTGCTGGGAAAGGATGGCAAGGCAACACGGGGGGAGTTAACTTGGTGATGAGAGACGTAGTATCTAACAGTGTTTTCAAAACACGATGGTACTTTGTTCTACCCCAGCAGCTATTTCCTGCTCCTGCTCCAGGAAGGCAGTGCACAGCGGGGCTCGCACGCTGCTAACCTCGCCGCCTTTTGTTGCAAACGCTGCGGAAAGTCTCCTCTTTGACTTGTACATCAAACTGGTGAAGGAACGTCACAACCGTGGCATTTTTGGAGGGTGTATTTGCCTGAGAACGGGTTATCTGATACCTACGTATCTAATTGAAAATCACCGGTATTTATCCAGAGCCATTTTGGAGTTCGTAGTGAAGCCGGTTCTGCTCCGAGGCTGGGTGTTTGCTGGGGACGTTGGAGACAGGAGCACATCCCATCCTGCTAGTCGTCAGGACCGCAGCTGAAGCGCTGCAGCAGGATGTTCACCTATTTGTTTCAGGGGGAAAAAGAAAAAGGAAAAAAAAAAAAAAAAAAAAAGGAAACAGACCAGAACAATGCAAAGGGAAAGCACCAGCAAGAGAACAGTATGTTCTTTGTAATGCTTTTTCTTTGGGGACATCTATTGCTGGCAATAAGATTAAATCACTGAAACCTTCCCTGAAGCTACATCTGCCACTGCCTACATTTTCCAACCTCAGTAATAAACTAACATTTGCCATTGTTCGTTTCTTCTGGATTTCATTTCTTACAGATTTAACCAGCGCTATTTACCACAAGGCATTCAGTTCTTGCTTAAAGCTGAGACCTATGCCAAGTCCCTAAAAATATTCATAGCTCCAAAGAATCTGGTTTTAAATAATATCATAAAAAGTAGACGATATTAATACAGCGGTTCACACTGAGTTCACGTACTGCTGATGCCAATGTATAAAAATGATGGAAGCCCAAGAAGCTCTAGACAAGACTACCCTGAAAGTGGTGAACAAAATCCTTTTTACCTTTTTACTGGCTGTCTGTATTTTAATTACGGCAGTAATTTTCTTATCTCAAAATATTAACAAAAATAAATAAATCTGTGTTACAGTCTTGCTTATCCTGACCTGGAGCGCTGTGTCTTTTCACTGCGGAGCGGTGGGCTGTGTGGGTCGTGGCTGCCGGCGTGCGGGGTGTTTGGGAGGGAGGATTCACGCACCCCTTTCTTTCCCGCAGGATGCCATAGTGATCCATGAAGTTTACGAAGAAGGGGCAGCAGCCCGGGATGGCAGGCTCTGGGCCGGCGATCAGATTCTGGAGGTAAACGAGTCTCTCGGTGTATCTGCTTGTACCTTTGTGGTGTGTACTTGTATTTGATGCAGCGTAGGGTTCTTGTAGGGGAAAGAGAGATCAATTAGTAGGATCTGGACTTGAAGCTTCTTTTCTGTCACTAAGAACATCCTGACAAATTCATATATCCTTATATATTCATGTAAACTGAAGGTACAAATTGAGAATATATTAAATTTAATTGAGCAAGGCAGTTCTCGAATTACATAGTTCAGCTGTCATGTCCAATAGCTCAGTATTATTCATCTGTTTAATCTTTCATTCGGAGGCCTGCACTACCGCCGCCACTCCGGTATCTCTGGATATCTCTGCCTGCGAACAAAGTGCTGAGCTGGGCAAACGTGGGGCGAGAGGGCGAGGGTGGCCGCAGCATCGCTGCGAGCATCCCTGCTGAAAAACTCCCGGTGCCCGCCGGCGGCGTGGCTGGCAGAGCTGCCGGCTCCTTCAGGCCACGGTTCATAAAACCAGAATTATTTCTGTGAATAAATGTAGTGGTTGGGTTTTTCCCCCTGTGGACAAGCATGGAAACGGAGGAGGGAAAGGGTTAAGGACGAAGTGTTGGTCTGCAAATGAAACTTGCGTCAGGCAGGGGTTCAGCGCAGCTGCTTGCAGCGTCTCGCTGTCAGATCAGGACAAATTCCCAGCATGGCCATTAAGGCTTTGGTGTGTAGGGTTAGAAAAATAGCGAGGGGTACTTGGGGAGTTGTCTTTACAGCTCTTGCATTGAAAATATTTTTTTTAGCGTTAAAGCTGAATGTTGTTTTCATTTTATAAATAACTGTGTATTAACAGAGCACAATAATTAGGGGATAAAAATGGGGAAGGTTTATTAATTCTTCTCTAGCCAAACAGGAAAGTGCTAATGTTTGTGTGCCCTAATATTGTTGTTGTTTCAGCTTTTAAAAGCTGTACTAATGAATCAAAAAGATGACTCTGAGTGAGTTTCAGATCAGTAGGATAAAGCACACATAGATGCCTGTGTTGGGAAAAGAATACCGATGCAGTATATAAATAAATGTGTGCAGAGTTAGTACAAAAGAATATAATTACTATCGATTAGGCTTAATTATCTTAATGTAAAATTAAGTATGATTGTAACTTTGCATATCTAGAAATACTGAGAAATATTTTCATTGCCTTAAAAGTCATTATGTTATGTAAGTGGATTATCATTCTATTGTTATTCAGTTACAGTTCATGCTGCTTCCTAAAGAGACTTCAAAAATATTTAAGCATTGGTATTTTTTGGTATTAAGAAATAAAAGATGATTTTGTCAACAGAACATTGGCAAACACCTTAAAGGGTTTCTGTGGATCAGGCTTGGCAAAATTAGGAGATTAACTTTCAAGTTGCAACAGAGGTTTTTTTAATACTTGAGCATTCAATCAGAACTTCTTGTTCTATCTGATATCACTAAAACACTAAAACATTTTCAGGTTATCGTAAGAGAAATGTAATTGAGCGCTCCAGGAGCGGTCTTGTGTGCCATCTATTGGAGCAAAGCAAAATAACCATTTAATACGGCCTGCCTGGGCTTTGCCATTGCCGTTTCCTAACGGCTCCGATTCCTTCCGTCTTCGGCTGGGCGGTGTTGCAAAACCGAGGGAGAAGGAACCTGGGCAGTAAGAGATAGGGGAAGCTCCAAGAAGCACGTCCCGCTGTGTCTAGTTGTAAGCAAGCAGCGTTGTTTGAGGTTCCAGCATTTAAAAAGAAGGGAAGAACACCCGCAGAACTTACAAGCCAAAATATTTTGATGATCGTGATTTACTCCAGGCAGTGGCACAAAGTGCCGAACTCGTGCTCAGTAGGAGATCCAGGAGCTCGGCCCCCTGGAAACGGGAGCACTAAATTAGAGTGCCAAGGGGTGTCAATTTGACAAATTTGTCCTCTCGCACAAGGGTAGGGCGTGATGAAAAGATCATTTATACATGTCATTTGGAAAGAAAACACTGATTATTTCAGGTGAACGGGATCGATCTGCGGAATGCCAGCCACGAAGAAGCTATCACTGCGCTGAGACAGACGCCCCAGAAGGTGCAGTTGGTTGTTTATAGAGATGAAGCACACTACAAAGATGAAGAAAACTTAGAGATTTTCTATGTAGATATACAAAAGAAAACAGGCCGAGGACTAGGGCTCAGCATAGCTGGAAAACGGTAAGAGTGTCTCTCTGATCCGACTGCACTTCAAACGAGAAATATTTTGCTTTTTGCCATAGGAACAACTGTAGCCATTAAATGGAATATGAAATAAAGGAAAAGCTCAGTAAGGAGCGGAATTTTGTATCAAAATACCTTCAAGGATGCCGTGGGGCAGTGGTCCTGGCTCCTCTAGCAGAAGGGCGACGCGGCTGTGCAGCAAAGGCTGCTGCTGCCCAGGAGGGCTCCCAGCATGGAGCCGTGTCCCACTCGGAGCGAGCGTGGCCGAGTGGGCGCACGCAGAACCGGGAGCTCGCTGTTCCGCTGGCTTCAGCGCAGCCGCGTCTCGGGGCTTGGAAGCCCTAGCCACAACTTTTCTGCTTTCAAAACGGGGAGAGAAGCCTTCTTATTTCCAAATACCAGGATATGCTTTTGAAAATGGATTTGTCAGTTAGATCTAGCTCCTACTCGGGTTCAGAGGGACCAGTGTCAGTGGAAGGTAAAAGGCTGAGTTAGACCCAAATCCTGAACGATATCAGAGTGACTCACAATGCTACAGACAGCGGTTCTGGGAGTACAGAGCAGAATCTGAGGTACAGGGGTAGGTAACAGCTGCTTAATAAAAAGTGACTTTTTACTGATGTATTGCTAAACCATTGCTATTAGATCATTCGAACCAGAGCACCAATAGATTTAATCTTTCATTACTAGAAGAGATTTACGGCATGACAGTGGCGAGCACTCGTTCAGTGTTGGTGCGTAAGAGTCATATGGTTGCTCTTCTGTATTGCCCCCAAAAAATTTATTTGCTCAATTACAAATCATCATGTCCTTATCCTTACTGCGTATGGTCAGTAAAGTTTCCACAGCAGTTTTTTTTATAAGAGTGGTGACGTTTAACCCAGGTGTTGTGAGCAGATTGCGGGTTGGGTAATTAATTTAGCTTATGTAAATTACCCTACAGATGGTAATCGCAGTCTCCAGCCTTCCCGCGTTTGCTTCTGTGCAAAACTTTCTGTACTATTGCTAACTGCTTTGCTTGTGGGGATTTCCACCTTGGAGGCAGCCCGATTTCAGAAGTCAAGTCAGTGATACCCAGATATAATTCAGGTTGTGAAGTGTCGTGTCCCTTCCCTGCGAGGGAGGCTGGAGCTGATAAATAAATACGTTCCCCTCGTCTGCGTGGCTTGCCGCTCTCGCAGCCACAAAGCTGGATTTTTTTTCCACATAACTCATGTGCAAACTGTAAAAGTCCTTTCTGCAGATTTCTCTTGGGGGCCTCAAGGCTTCTAGAAAAGCAACTGAGCTGAACCTTTAGGGGGAATATAGAAAAAGAAATATCTGAGGCTGCATAATTCATGTCAGGCACATCAGGAGATAGTTTAAGTCCATCTTAGACCGATCCTTGGCTTTTTATTCATACAAGTGGTATTTTTCATGAATCTTTATGGATCATACAGTCAGAACTAATGGTTCAAGGGGAAAGACAGCATTAAATATAGCAAAACATGCCTTGGTTTTAAAACTCATAGGTTTTTTACACCCCGTTCAACCATTTGAGTGTAAAACTAGTTCTTCCTCTGCTCACAGGTTTCTTTTAATGTCTCTTAAATGCAAGTAATCTAAATTGGTCTCCCAAAGAATATTGGATTGTGTAATTAGCCATATGCTTCTTGCATTGTTAGAAATGGAAGTGGAGTGTTTATCTCTGACATTGTTAAAGGAGGAGCTGCAGACCTAGATGGAAGATTAATTCAAGGAGATCAGATTTTGTCTGTAAATGGAGAGGATATGAGAAATGCCTCACAAGAGACTGTTGCCACTATACTTAAGGTGAGTACATAATACATTTTAAGACCTAGAATTGCAGTTACCGACACTGTGCAAAGTAATTATCCTGAAGTGCTGTTTGCACATACGCAGGACAGCTCAAACTGAATACTGAGACAGGAATTTCTTCTGAAATAACTTTGGGAGATTGATTTAAAATCACTTCTCCGGGTCTGTTTAGAAGTGGGATGATATGAAGTGGGAAAACAAAGACACTTATTTGAAAATGCAACAGTGTATTTCATACATGAGAAAAATATTCTGAAACCTGAGAGTCATACAAATCAGAACTGAAATAAAATGCCTTTGGCTTTGGTGCACTAACCTGCACCTATAAAATAGCAGCTTAAATCTGTTTCTGCGCAGTTTTCCATCTTACAGGAGTGATTTTATACTCTGAAGTTGGACAGTCTGGGAGAAGTCGCCTTTTTCCACTAAAAAGCACGTGGCTTCTTGAGTTGGAGGAGCGGGCAGGGATGGCCTGATGTTAGCCCTCCGTGCAGCTCCCAGCTCTGGCAGCCCGGAAAGGACGGGTGGGAGTGATGCTGCAGACCCATTTCTGTTCCAAACTGCATCTGGAGACGAGGGCTTTTTCCCTGCTATCGCCACTAGTGTTTCTGCGCGTGATTCCTTCCATTCTTGAAGGGAAAGGCTAATTATTTCCTTGCTTTTTCCATTCAGGGTTGGTACCTGGCCAAAAGTTTACCTATTTAAGAATTGGAAATCGGTGGTATGAGGGTATATTATTAAGTTGAATCCACGTGTGTTAAATTCACCCTTTTCTGCAGCATTTTTTCTCTGAAGTGTTTTTCAGGAATAGTTTGTGGCAAATGTCTGTTAAAGAGTTGGGGGATTTTGTTGTTTGTACTGAGTAATTGGCCATCTACAGTCTGCCAGTAGGAAGATTCATACTGACCTCGGCAACCGGGATGGACCTTCGGGATAAACCTAAATCCAGGGATGGGTACTTTCTGTATTGTCTAAATACAAATGTTAATGTTTTGAGCAGTCCTTGTGGTTTTCTTCACGGAGTTGTGGTGCTGAATATAAACATAATTCTTTCCAGGAGAGCATGAAATATTATATGTCTACTTAAATGCTGTACATTGCATTTTTGTTTTTTGTTTCCAAGTGTGCCCAAGGCCTAGTGCATCTTGAACTTGGAAGACTGCGAGCTGGATCATGGTTATCACGGAAAACATCCCCAAACAGTCAGGTTAGTGACAAATTCATACGTATATAATGGAGCTGTGAAGAGCAGGGCAGGGCAACAGCGCACAGGGCGTGCGTGTGAAGCTCACTCGTTCCATAGATACTTACTGCTTACGCTTACTGCTGAGAGTGTGGAACAAACTAATTTATCGCAATAATTTTCTGTGCTGAACTGCAAAGTAAGTCTCATGCTGATTAAGTAGAAGAGCTAGTTAATGTATTTGTCTTCCTGAGACACACCAAAAATATGTAATAGCTTTCTCAAATGATGATGCCCAGAAATTTTTTAGACCTGCAAAAAATGCTGAATGTATTTTCTGCAGCTGTTTTGTCAATCAAAATGAGTTAATGAAACTGAACTGTATCTTTGCCTATCTTATGGCAGAACCACATGAGAGCTGCTTTGCTCTCAAAGAAAACACAGAGCAATTTCCTGCTTCACTTGCTTTTTACCTGAAGCGAGGACAACAATTCATTTTTCAATCAGTGCAGGGCTTTTCCCCTCTCCCTGCGCCCCCGAATCAGCTCAGACACTGATACCATTAGTATTAAAGTCTGAGTACTGCAAGGGAGAAAAGCCAGGTAAGATGACTTCGAAAACTTTTTTTTAATGGATTTTTCCTTCCAAAGACTGACTGCTTTGCCATAATATTTAAGTTGCCAGTGTCCCCGAGAGAGACAAGCTGTGGTGCTATTGCTTGGGAGTATTTTGCCCCCTCTCCGCCCAGGGGCAGCTGTCTGGGAGCCCGGGGACATCGCCCACGCGCCTCCCTCGCACGCTGATGTGCAAGCGGGCAGGGAAGGCTGCACACCGGTGGGATCCAGCCGTCGCAAATGCTAAAAGAAGGTCTCGGGTTTGGAAATGGAGAGGAGGAGCCATAGGAGGCTTAGGGGGGGGATGTAAGTTAAAGCAGGAATGCTTTTAAGGAGGTCGGTAAGAGGGGAGGCTTGTCCTTGATGTTGTGCATGAACAACCCGAAAAGGGTGCCAAAATCATAGTCACGTGGTGTGATTTCTTAACTTCTAAAGGCCAGCAGTGATCCAGCCTGCTGTCTGTGCGGGTGCGGTGTCAGGAAGGGCTAAGGAGCCCATAGCCATGCAGAACAGCTGGGCTAAGCGCAGCTTTAAAAATAATGACTAAAAACCATTGGAGAAACATCTGCACTGCATGCAGTGGGCAAGGAAAAATGAAAGACCAGAGGAAAACGATCCTGATTGCATTAAGTAAAGACAGCAGTCTTGACTATTACTTTCTTTTGGTTGTTGTATCAACAGCTAGCCTAAGCAAGAGCAATGTAATCAAAAAGTGGCGGTTAAAAATTATCCACCCAGTTTTACTGTGTAAAACTCATAGCTGAAAGGGAAGCGAAACACCATAGTATCTAACACGATTCTAGGTAGAAAATCAGATCAAACGACGTCATCTCCCTTTCTTTGTAGCATAAGAGGCTTTTGCAGGCACCTAGTAATTTCTGTATTTCTTTTAATACAAGAAATTGTAATTGCTGTTCTTAATGCAGAGCCATTTGAGGGCCTTCATCTCGCTGCTCCTGAGTGACTTGGTGATTTTGAAAACTGAATAAATATTTCCCGGCAAAATCATTCCAAGAGCTATAAAAATATTGGCAGCTAATACAGCAAATCAGCTTGAATGATTTGCACAACTGCGAGCGATGTTTTAGAAGCTGCTGGCCAAGAGCATCCAGAACTTTTGTCCTCACTTGGCTTTTTTCTTGGTCCGCTGCATACCTTTAACAGTAGAAATATAAGCCTCGTGGTGCAGGACAGTGATTTCTTTCACGCGCATTGCAAATCATGTTAACTGACCCATGAACTGGCAACTAGAGGTGGAAATTGTGCTCTGCCTGTTGTTCGTCGCTGACAGCTGCACACTGGTCAGTTAGGATAAATGCTGCCAGAGCTTTTGATTCACCGCCTAATGCGTTTAGCGGGAGAAAGCTCTGCTGTGGATGGAGAAGTACAGACCAGATCTTTGTTTTGTATAAGGCAGCTTAGTTGAAAAGGTCTGGCCTTGGTGAAACCTGTTGTTCAGACACATTTCCTAAATTGATAATGATGTTTCCTCGAGGGGCAGAGTCTGAAGAAGATAAAGCCAGATATGAGACAGGGAAAAGGAGGGCTGGAAAGGGACGGCCAAGGATTGGGAATGTGCACGAGCGGCTGTCTTTGGAGGCTTTCCCTTTTGTCACCTGGCATGTTAGTCTGGAAATAAGAGTAGGTTCTTGGTGAAATGAAAGGAGCAGGGACAATTACAGGACCTTGTAGTCAGACAATATATCCAGCTAAAATAACACAGCCTGTAGGTTACTGCTGCGTAGCAAGATGGGTGTGATTGTTATCCCTACCTTGCGGGAGAGGAGCTGAGACCTGTCCTGCTGGCTCCCTCATGGGGAAGATGCCCACAAGCTTCAGCAGCAACCATCATCTCCCCTTCTCCTCTGGTTCAGAGACACAGTGGGAATAAGCAAAGGAGGGGGTTAATCCTGCTTCCTTATGCTCCCTAGAGCAGATCCGAACAACCTACACATTAGGTGTGCATGGAGAGAAGTGCAGTTGTGTGGTACTGTGAGCAGTGCTACGGGTGTGCCTACGGCTCGGGGACGGGGTCGGGTAGGTTCTTCCCCCTTTGGAAATGAAGTTGGAGGGGGTTGCACTTGCATGGCCGATGTGGTATTTCCAGTCTGGTTGGTACAGAGCACAGCTGTGCCTGTATGTTGCAGGAACTGGTTTAAAGTTAACGTTTGGGTTTGACTCACGAGTTTTGATTTATTTTTATCTTCAGGCAAGCCAACAGAGTGTCCATAGCCACTTCCACCCTGCGCTTGCTCCAGTCCTCTCTACCTTACAGAATTTTGTCAGCGCAAAAAGATCTTCAGCAGATGCGTCTCAGAGAAACTCAGGTATAATCTGGGCGGAGTAGCTGCATGTTACTTGCTTTATATTTGTGCTGGTTTAAAAGCAAAGCTGAATACTTGAACCTGGTTTTCCCACTCAGGCTCCCAGAAGACTGATATTTTAAAACCCGAACACTTTCCAGCAGATGACATTATTTTTATGTCTACCAGTGGAGTAGCGGCTCCTCTATTTTAAGTGCAGAATTCCTGCGCCCCGCTATTCCCCGACGCCCTTGTCGGAGGCTTAGCACAGGCAAGGTTCTCACATTAGAAACAGTTTTCTCAAGGAATAAAGCTGCCACCACTTCATTTATATCTTTGTTGCTCTTTGGTGTATAAAGGAGTGTTTTGTAATGAGAAAGTCACAATGCTCACTTTGCAATTTTCAGATTTAGCAATTGCTAAATCTACAACCTGCAGTAGCTTGCGGAGAGCCTGCGCGTTGGCCCATGTCAGAAGTCGGTAACCTTTGCTCATGTCTGAGCGTGGGCAGAAGCAGAAGATGTTTCTTCTGCTAATTGCGTGCGCTGGAGGAGGCGTGTGGCTTTTTGGACAGCCTTCCTCGTGCCGTTTTGAAGGGCCCTGCAGCACAGAGAATGCATGTCTGTGTACCCCGATTTGGCATCCCTGGAGCTGGGCTTCCCGCTCCTGTGGACCTCACTGCACCCTGGCGATCCTGCCTTCTCTACTCACTGCAGATATCTGCACAAGCACACGCGCGTGGCGGTGAGAAATACTGATAGGTGTTATTAAGAATCGTTAACTCTTGAAAGAGACTAATTCTGCCTGCCTTCTAAAAGGTTCTTCAAATAGTTTAATTAAAGCCAATAGAATTAGGGGTTGGCATAGCAGAGCCCAGGCCCTGAGTACACCATCAGCTTTTAGGCTGTTTAGTCCCAGTTCAAATGATTCCTTTGAAGTGTCCTTTTTTTGGTCGTCTTTTTTTTTTTTTTTTTACTGTTTTGAGTACTTTTAAATCTCCTATGACTAGATATATGCCAGCCAGACTTCCTGTCTGTCTATTATTTACTAATACAGCACAAATTAGAAGAGAAAATCAATGGAACCTCAACAGTCTCAGACCAGCCGTGTGCCCTACCCTTTGTGCTAGGGACACTGTGATTTATGAATAATAAGCCAATCTTTAATTGAGTGAAGTGCACAATAGGGCTTTTCTTCAGGCCGGCAGAGTGCTTCTATTCAATAAATTTTGGTGAGCAGCGGCCATGCTACAATGGGCGTCACGGTGGCATCCGTCAGCCGGAGTGATTACATCCGTATTCATCTCTGGGTGAAACAGAAATCCCGACCTCCTCGCGTGAGCAGCACTGCCTGGTTTGGCACTGGAAGGCTCCGCTTCTGCTTGGTGATAACTCTGACTAGGCAGCGAGGGACCATTGTCACCTGACAGTGTTATCTCTTAATTATATTATCTCTTAATTACAGAAGCTAATTGTTTGTTTCTTTATTAGTAGGAGCAGATATGGGCCCAAGGACTGTGGAGATAACAAGGGTCAGTGAGTTATTTTCTATCAATTCAAAAAGCTGACACCTTTAACTGAAGTTGTTGATTTTTGTAGTATTTCTCAGAAGTAAAATTGCATTATTTATGTTTGCGATAGGTTGTGGGATGTGTGCCTGTATAATGGGACCTGCGTGTGTGAGGATGCACGTGTCTGTCAAACCTATCTATTTTCTCCCTGTTGCATAAGTCAAATGACTCGGTTATTGCCCTACAAGTTGCTCCAATTGCAAATTTTGTTTTGTTTTGCTTTGTTTTAGGGACCGAATGATGCACTTGGTATCAGTATAGCAGGAGGGAAGGGAAGTCCATTAGGAGATATCCCCATCTTCATTGCTATGATTCAAGCCAGTGGGGTGGCTGCACGTACCCAAAGACTTAGAGTGAGTAGAGGGGTCCTCTCAATATTTCCTATTTCCTCTGCCATGTGTCCCACAGAGAAGGAACTTCAAGCACTTCTGTACGTGCCATCACTCTGCTAATGTCTCGTAGACTACTCTGCTTCTTTTTATATAAAAGCAAAACAAAAGACCCCAAACCTGCCCTTCTTTTCCCTTTTTAATGATATGTATCTTGGGATAATGGCAATTGTTGCCCACATTGGAAAAGCGACGTTAAGAGAAAGAACATAAATGCATTTGCGGTGGTCTTTGAATGTGTGTGTTCATCCAGACCCAGGGAGGGCAGCAGCAGGCCCTCTGGAAACCACAGGCATTGCGGGGACTGTGGACTGGGCATCATTTAGAGCTCAAACGAGGTAGAAACCAGATCAGAAGTTAGTTGGTTGATCTTAAGGCCCTTACAAAGAAATGCCAAAGTAAGGCCCTTATATCAGACCAACAGGATATCTGGGTTTCCAGGACTGACCATGGTGAACGCCTCCAGTTTTGGAGAGAGTTTCAAGGAATCATTAGTATTGAAAAGAACTTACTATGTCGATACACAGGGTCACTTTGGCCCATGAGATTCGTTAGTATGCGCTTCTACATTCATGCCGTGTCTCTAATAGATTTACACAATAGCCCTAAGTGCCAGGGTCAAGATCATTTTTATGTGTAAGAAGAAGAAATCATCTAGGTTAATTAGATTATTATCAGAAGTGCCTGCTTTCCTATACTGCATTCAGCACGTGCGTGCATAGTCTGTAAGAATATGAACTTGTCTGCACGTGTGGACACGAATCCTTTCTGGATGGGAGGACAGCAGTGAAAATCTGACTCTCTCTGCTTGCAAATGGAAATAGTAAAATACAAGCTGTCTTTGTTTCTCTGATCACATTGTTATTTTTAAAAAAATCCTTATTGTACTTGCTCTGAAGAATGGTAAATGATCACTAGCAATGCAGAATTCTCACAAAAGAGATCCTGCAAAAGAGAAGCATGACTGTGCAGTGCCAAGTTCACGAGGAATTTTAAGCATTCTTAATTTTAATTTTCCCTAATGCTAGTAATTTTCCATTACCGTTGTACTTTTAGGTTGGAGATCGGATTGTCAGTATTAATGGACAACCTTTGGATGGGCTGTCTCATGCAGATGCGGTTAATCTACTAAAGAATGCTTATGGGAGCATTATCCTGCAGGTATGGTGATAAATTGAACATGCAGCTGCATGAGGGTAGATAAATGGCATTCAGGAAAAAAAAAATCCCCTAAGCATCACTGGCACAAGGCATCACAGAATTGCAGGGTGCTTGCTGATGGGAATTACACAGAATGAAAGCGCAAAATAATTTTCATTCAAAAATTCTTTATTGCCACTCATACAGGCTGTGAGCATGATTATATAAAAGCGTAACAAAGAGAACAAAATAACTTGTTGCTACACATGATAAATCAACAAGCTTCCAAGTTTTGTTTCTGTTTTTTTTTTAATTTGAAGTTAACTAGGAACAAGAAATTAAGTGTATGTGCACATGCACGTAACCAGAGTGTGACCAAACTGCCCACAGTGTTAATTTCCTTGTTCTTGAAAGGCGGAGAAGAAAAAAACACTAACAGCATTTAGTAAAAATGATAGCATCATCATTAAGACAGTGCTGCCTAGAATTGATTATTCTACAGGTAATGAATAATAACACTCAAGAGAGAAAACAGTGTTATCACTGCCGTGTTTATATGCTAGCTAAAAGGAAGACGTGTTCTGCCACTTTGGTTCTAATTGCTGCTTGCCAGTATATTCATCTTTAGTTTATTTTTATGTTTACACAAAGAAATGGGAAAAATACTTGCCAGAGAGAATTCAAAATACTGCTCATTTGCAGAATTATTGTAACAATTGGAAAACAAGCTTAAGACGTACCACTAAAAACTACTCTAATTTTCTTTATCATCACAGCATATTGGATTGGAACGCATCTTGAGAGATTTTTGCAAGCTTCTTGCTTGCGTTACAACACAAATGTGACTATAAAAAATGGAGGGAAAAAAGAAGGGGGAAAAAAAAAAAGGAAATGAAATTATAATAAACTTAGTTTTAGACTTGCTTATTCTTTGTTTTGTGTGTCCATGAACTGCAGACCTGGTAAGTGATGAGCCGCTTCCAGAGCAGATGGTATATTTGTGTAGTTCCATTGGAGTCAAAGGAAATACACAGATACACACCAGCTGAGGATTTTCTGTTAAATTATAGTTATCATATGGTTACTAACGTTGAGTAATTTCACTTTTCATGTCAACAGTATTCCCTGAATAGAAAATGAAAGCTTGCTGCAGAACCCAAAATTGCTAATCTTGAAAGCTGTAATACAGCGTCTTCCACCTCAGCACGTATTTAAAAATATTCCTGATGAAGCACACTGTCAGTTGGTCGCTCACATAAACAAAGAAGTTCTTCAAGAAATGTCTTTGGGTTTGTCAGTTGACGGGTTTTCTTCCACATTTTTGCTGTCTAGCTTAAAATGCACCTAATACTTTTTACAGATGATACAGGTTTGTTCTGATGGAATAGAGTCTATTTTCCTCTATTAAAAATCTGTTATGAGAAGGTGGGATGTTGTATTTTAATACCGGCAGGGAGTAGCGTAGAACCTCTGCCATAAACGTGGCGATACGGTTACCTTGGGTGCTAATCACAGCTACTTCTCAATCACCAGATTGCTGGGGTTTATTATTATTATTATTATTAAAACAATCTAAATGGAATAATCCTATCGCTGTGATAATCATGACTGATGTGTCATTAAGTAATTCTATTTATTATCAGGTTAGGCCACTTCATGGCAAACTGCTTTGAAAGGTCAGATAATTGCATTCAGTGGTGTGGAAAGGCTTATTATCAGTATGTCCTGGGAAGGATGGTAAAGGAGTTTGCAAATGCTGTTTGCAAATGGGAGATTAGGGTCTCGGGGGAACAATCATCCCTTTCGGCTGTTTTGATGCTTTGGTTTAATTTAATTTCTTTTCTGCAGGTGTAGTAATGAGATAAGGGGAAGCTTTTTTACAAGGTTGTTGAACTCTGATACGTTCTTACTGCCAACTGAAGATTTTTGAATATAGATTTATTTTGCCCTCATTTTATTTAACAACAAATATGACAAATACTGGCTGGCACTCTTAAGGAAAACTTAACGGTGTCTTTGCTGGCCGAGCCAGGTGCTGCTATCTTCTCTGCCGGACCCCTTCATTTAGGGCACCAGAGAACCTGAGTCCTGGGATGCAAAATCTGCATGAGAACTAATCTTCCTTCCTAGGAAATGCTGCCACCCTCTTGGCTCCAAGTGATTAGAAAGAGGGAAATACTGTTATGGAAGAATTGTGAGCATTCATTTAAAATGGGGGATTTATATAATGGATTTTTTTTATTTTGAAAAGGTACGTTTCTCTTAAGCCATGTTCACAGCAAGGAGTGGAAAAAGTACCTGTCAATTTTGATAAACTAAGGCCATAGATAGCTAGAGGAAATATTGAAAATATACGTACTGGGTATTTCTGACTGTCTCTGAGCCGAACTCCTGCGCTGTACAGTAGACGTCAAGCAGAGAAGAATATCTCGTCGAAGGAGATGGAGCTAGGGGATAACCATGGCATGTAGTTGTTAGGAAATTGATGTCCTTTCAGTGGTGAATACTTAAAATCCAAAATCCAAAACGAGTGCTTTCCTCAATTTTTTTTCCAGGAAAAAAGCAAAGAATAGAAAACTAGCATGCAACGAAAGGTTAAAAAAAAAGCTAGAATGGGCATCGCCACTTTGTGTTTAATAAATCCCACTGGGCCTGCAAGCTGCAAGCTTTTATCCTTGTGAGGCTAAACCCCTGTGAACAGCAAACCCCAGACCTCGGCGTGCGAGTAGCTGTTTTCTCAATGCGGCCATAGTCGACTTTGTAACTAAGCGATACGACATCGATAGGGTTGCTTTAAAAAGCCAGAGCAAGTTTCCTGCTCCACAACCTGTCAAAATATCACTAACTCAATTAATTACTGCGTGGTGGTAATTCACAATGGTTTCAGAATTATACAGGAGCCAGAACTGGGAAGTTTAACAATCCCATTTGTTGCCCTTAGTGGACGTGCTGGAAATGGCAGAAAAGTTGAAACCAAGGATTGATTTCTGCCCATGCAGCAAACCAACCAATCTGAGGTGTCAGGGCCTTTGCCCAATATTCCCTTGGATCTCAATATTTTGCTAAGGTGCTCTCCCTGGGAGACCTTTACTTTCAAGCCCAATCCTGGATGCCTTGTGTTGACTCCGAGACGTACCTTTTTCCTTGACAAGGTAACCTGCATTATCCAGAAAGACTGTTCCCCTCTGCTCAGCATCTGAGTGATAGTTGTGTAAAGGTAAGAGCAAGCTACAGGGCAAAGTTTGCATGTAACCTCCAGAAAGGTGGCTTTTAGTAACTTCTACTATTTGAAAGTGTTGAATTAGTAGGAAATTTAAGAAAGTAGGACTTGTATTTGAAATTTGTTTGAAAAAAAACATCAATGACTGATTCTTTTCCTAACATATTGGCTATTTTTGTACATAATTAGCCAAGATGTCTTTGGTATTAAGCGAACACACATTGTACTTCATTGCATCCTTCTGTTTAGGTTGTGGCTGATACCAACATCAGTGCCATTGCTACCCAGCTGGAGAGCATGTCTGCGGGATGCAACCTTAACTCTTCTTCCGAGCATCCTTCTGAAGATCCCGAGTAAGTTTGTACTTAGTCTGCAGAACTCAGGTAGATTTCTATGCCCCATGCAAGGGAAAAGCCTAGGCTGACGAAGGAGGTCTCTCTGCTTTTCTCTCTAACTTTCCATCACCTTTAAAATGTTAACTATGAGCTTTTCTAGGCTGAACACAAACTCATGTCCGTCTTTACCTGGTGACAGAAATTGCTTGAGTAAATAAGCACAAAATGTTTCCAAGCACTAGTTCTGGACATTTAAAAAAACAAAAATCTCTCCTTTCTTTCCTAATGTTATGCTGACATGATAGTTCTGCCCTTGTCTGCTGGCTTCCGTGACTGAAAGGAGTTAGGATTGTAGCAATTTGAAATAATTTGTCGTTGGCAGACTAAAGTAAGAGGTGTTAAAAAGCCTGATAGCAGAGACAAGTGTTTCAAAACATGTCCCAGAACTTTCTTTGTCTTTTGAATCTTTTTAGTTTACAATTCGAAAAAGTCTGATTAAAAAAATTTTCTACTTGCAGCACTTCTGTATGGTGATGGAAGGTAGAGATCTAGCCCTCCCATGGCCATGCATCATTCTCCATTGTGTGCTTTTTAGGGCAGCTTATAGCATTCCAGTTATCATTTTGAAATTCATTTGATCTTCATTTTGGTTCATTAGCTTCGTTATGCTCTTCATTTTCATTCTTTGTTTCATTATATTTATTTTAAGAAGCTGAGATGCAAGTTGCTGCCCTACCTCAGGGGTTTTTGGGTATAAAAGTTAAGCTATTTATGCTGCATTCTCTAGTTTTACAATGTGAGATACTGTTTTTATTGCTGCTCTCAAAGGAGAATTGCTTACTTCACAAAAGGATTTGTATTCTCTTTTCATATTAAAATAGTAAGGAAATTTGGATGTGGAAAATATGAAGCAGAATTAGGTAGGCGTATGCATTTGTTCTGTCCTAAATAAATGGTGAGATATTAATCATCACAGGCTGCACCTTTACATAGGTGGAAGATGCCAAACAGCTTTTTGTCCTCAATAATTCTTTCTAAATATGTAGAATGACTTTTTCAAATTTGAGATGGATACATAGCTATGAGTGGTCTAAAATCCACCAAAAATCTTCCTCTGCTCGACGTAGACAGTAAAAGCCCCTGAAGAGCAGTTCAGGGTCTAAGTGATGCAGGCAGCGAGGGGCTCTCGGGAGTCAGCCTCTGGGGTAACGAGGCACAGGGATGTAGAAAAAGAAAACAGTCCAAAGAGTCTGCATTAAAGCTGAGACTATAAACACAAGTGTTCCTGGCTGCACCCTGTCTATTAGACTCGTTCCTCTGAAGTCATAAAATAAAATTATGCTGTAAGGAAATTGTTGCAGTTGCCACTTAAGCAGACTACAGACGACAGCTTGGCCGGTAAGAAAGCAAACTCTCCTTTCCGTACGTGCAGCGAGTGCAGATGAGGGGAGTCTCGCTTCTGCATCAGAGATAAGTGCTCTTGTTGAGTTCTTATTAAAAACAAGTATTTTCAAAGTGAGGAGCTGAAGTACACAGAACAACGTTTGAACTCCGGGCTGCGCAGGAGTGTGTTTCAGTGCAAGGGCAAGAGTCGTGGTTTGTGACTGTATGAAAAACTTCTTGATAGACAAATATCTCTGTAAGTCTTCCTTCTGCATAAATTCCCCAGAGACAGACATTGCTATTCTAAGTGATATTTGTTGTGTTTTCAGAGCACCTCATCCTAAGATTATTACTTTGGAGAAAGGCTCTGATGGACTGGGATTTAGTATTGTAGGGGGGTATGGAAGTCCCCATGGAGACCTGCCCATATATGTCAAGACTATATTTGCCAAGGTATCTTTTGGTTTTGTTTTGTTTTCTCCCTTTTTCTGTATTATCTTTAAAAATAAACCCAAGCTTTGCTTTGGATAATCTATTATGTAGTAGAAAGCAAAATGTACTAAGTACACTGATGTGAGTAAGTGGACCTAAGCTGGCTTCTCAGTTTCTATTTCATATTACTGATGGCTGAAACAAGATGCTTTATCTCAGCAAAATTGCTCTGTGTACTTGGGAAACTTGTTTTTATACATTAAAATATTTATAAGGCAGTTTTATATCTGTAAATCTCAAAGAGCTCTCCAAGAGGTATGGAGGCATCGCTTTTCCCACTGTACAGGAGACAGTTGCAGAGGTGCTGTATCTTTGTCACTGAGCTTCAGCAGCAAAACCAGCAATAAGCTCCTGTGAGAAAAAAGTCACCTCAATCAGAAAAAATCCCAAAAGACGAAAACTCTATACCTTGTGGCTTGATGATGAATTGGCTTACACATCGGTCCTGGCTGTAGTTGTTCTCCCTTGCTTCCAGCTTCTCTCTCATGCCTCTCCGTTCTCCACCGAGGCCGAGGAAGAAACGTGGTGCACCCATCCTCCCGCTGGCAATGTGCTCGGCATGGCCACGCAAAGGGAATTCTGGAAATGGGGGGAAGAAAAACAGTGGGAATTAGGAATATTTTATGTAAAGTAACCTTGAAGTCAGTCACACACAGTTTTTTGTCCTGTGCCTACTTGCTGTCACTCGTGTCAGCGCTTCTGGCAGGGTAGATGACATAATTAAGAAAACTTCATCTGAAGGTAGAGTGGAAGTCGTGTCTCCTCTGCTTCTGCAATTCCAGGGGTTAGACCACAAATATCTGGTCTTTTTACAATTTTCAATTATTAACATGGGAAGATATTGTATCTTTAAGCTGATGCGTAGATTTACAAGTTTCTAGATGTAAGCACGGCTGAGAAACCCTAAATTGAAGCTGGAATATGCTGCAGTCACTGGTGGGGCCACGGAGGAGAAATGGACACCGTGAGCACACCTCTGGGCAGGGCAGGGCTGAGCATTTAGACAAAAGAGCTGCACTGAGGCCTCTGGAGGAGAACAGCCATTTCTAAAGCTCTGTGGAAGCTTCTCGGGACCTTCAGTGGGGCCCAGCTCCATCCAGGGCTTGGGGCAGTGCCCAGGCTGTTCTGCTGTGTGAACTCTGCGTCCCTCTCCCTCCCGAATTTTAACCCATTTCTCAGCACGGGGTGCAGAGTACATTTAAATGCTTCTTTAACAAACCTCTCCGTAATCCTAAAAGCCAGAACCAGTCTTTACACTGCAGTTTTTTCAGGGATGAGCCGCTTCTCTTCCCAGGGGTGTGTGGCCCACCCCCACTGCCCCAGCCCTCACGGGTTTGGGTAAGCGGGGCTGAGCGACGGGCAATGGTCGAAGCACTCCGGGAGACTTCAGCCCTGTCGTTCCCCATTTCCCCACCCAGTGACGGTGGGATTTTCCAGCGCTGCATCCCTCCTCATTTCATCCATCAGCATTAGGAGAGACGGGAGGGCTCCGTGCTACCAGCCGCTAACGAATCCCTTTGCCGTTTGCAGGGAGCAGCTGCGGACGACGGCAGACTGAAGCGAGGCGATCAGATTTTAGCGGTTAATGGGGAAGCTTTGGACGGTGTCACTCACGAGCAAGCTGTAGCTATTCTGAAGCGCCAGAAAGGAACTGTAACATTAACAGTGTTATCATGAATGTCGTTTCGCTTGCGGAGATAAATACAATTATTTTAGAACATCAGTAGAGCTATAATAATACTGCTCGGCCCTGAGCAGGTTGTAAAGCAAACCCTGGCAAAAACGAATCAGTATTCACCCCATTGCCGGGAAGGGTAGCGTGCATCTCGAGCTTCGTTTAGCCGTCCCCATTTATCAGCCCTTCTCCCCACCCTCCCCTACTCCTGGTGGCTTTTGAGGTTTCTCTGGACAAGTTTAATTAAGAAACTTCAAAGAACAATATCCATTTTACTTAATACATCAGTTTATCCCCACTAGTCTGAACCCTGGTTACAACTGCTGAGCCTGCAATCAGTTCACACACAAAAGAGAATTTAGATCATCAACTGATCTCATCTGATGAGCAGAAATAAATGCAGAGTGACTTGTCATCTCACTCATGATTTACTTATGCTAATTGTCCTTTCAAGTATGCCAGAAAACATTAGCAATGTAATTAAATTACCACTGTTCCAAATGATGAAATATCAAATTCTCCTCTGGGAAATTATTTGTGCTCGGCACAGTAAGTCTGCTAGTCAAATGTGAACTTCTCATGTTTATCTCTTTGGGTAGGTCTATGGAAGTTAGTCAGAGGTAATTACTGTGATGTGTCAATTTGCAGCCTTTAGCATGAAAAATAAACTAGGGGAGAGGGAAATTGATTTTTTTTTTTTTTTTTTAGGCTTTTAAAATGTTTGAGCCTTTTCAGATATTTAGGCAGCATGAACAACAACAACCTATCTCATTCTATTCTAATTATATTTTTAAAGAAGAAGAAATGTGCTGATATACGCCAGGCATGTTGCATACAAAGGCAGTTGTTGTTGTGCCAAGTTGCAGCATAATTGTTCATCCTGAAACTTTAACGAAGACAAAGTTTGCTTCAGCAATGTGATCCTGTAATTCTAGTAATGATGGCGAGCAGTCCCTCTGCACGCCGTCTTTAAGGCTGGATGAAGTTAATCCAAGCCAGGAAACCGTTTTACGTTTCCAAGGCTCTCCCCAGGATCAGATACTGCAGGAAGAGGCTTTCACGGATCACAGAGGATGCTTCTCTCTGGGGGATGCTGGAGTTCCATTTTGGATAACACCGAATAATACCAGGCAGCGGTGAGATGATCGCTGCAGAAGACTGCTGCGGCAGTTTAAGATGATGTCCTCCCCAGGGCAGAGCACGCAGAAGGGGGTTCCTCAGCCTCCTCCGGCAAGTCAGACGGCTCAGTTGAAGCAACCGTCTATTTTTTTGGTTTAAGCTAAGCCAGGCGAGTGTGTGCTGAAGCCCTCGAGGAGCGTTCCCAAGGCCTGTCCCGCTCTGCGTGGTGGAGGTGGGATGCAGGAATGTTAAGCCAAAAGTTAGCAACTTCGTTACGTGTCGCAGCCGTTCCTGCAGTGATTATGTGACCACGGCCGTAGCGATTTAGCAAATGAATTTGGCAGGCAGATTAACGGCAATGCGAGTCATCGTGGTTTAATCTTCCTATCCAGAGGAGCGGTCGGGTTTTAGAGGAAGCAGCCTAGTCTGATTTGGACTATTTGGTATAATTTATAATGATGATGTAGCTGGGAGAAATTAAAGGGGGTGGGGGTCAAAATTGGCTGCTCATTTTATGTGAAAAATCCCTGGCCTTAAATGGAAAGAAGATTCACAATCTGTAGTACAACAACCGAGTAGGACAAGGTTTGTGGTAGAGGTGCTGTTGTTCAGTGTGGTGTAGCTGGAGCGGGTGTTCCCCCGGTTGACATAAAAGAGCAGGTACAGCAGCGAGGTGACCTCGCTGAAAGAAGCCAGCCGTGACTAGCTCTCACCGAAACGGTTCTCCTTATTTCATTGCAAAGTTTTCTTTAACTTCAGGTAATCACAAAGTGCGTTTAGCCTGCTGGAACCATTAGTGGGTGTTCCGTTCGTAGTGCCTGGAAGAGACTTCACGTTTTCAGTGGATTCCCGCTGTACCGTTTGATTTGCCAAGTGAAGTGTTAGTGGAACCTTGATTGCAGACGCACAGAAATACGTCCAGATGGAGCGAATTGGAGAATTTTTAACAAACTGCCTTTGGTTGCAAAAGTATCCAAGGTATGCAGAAGTTAAAGGCAGGTAGGTGAAATGTGAAGAGGTACCCTCAGAAATCGTGGATGGAATTTATGGACAAAATGTAACAATTCCTCTGTCTGATTCTGTTTTTATTATAGCCATTGCGTTCCTACTTTAAGGTGTTGCCACATTTAATCTATGAAGTTTTACGCGGCTATTTATTAGCCTATTATGCACATACTGTTCATATACATAAAGAATAGAATTTATGGGCTGAGATATTTTGCACTTCTCATTGCTCAGAATGAGAGAGAACATTTTCTGCTTCTTGTAATTTGCACTTTGTGTGTTGAATGTATTACTGCCAAAAATTATATTGCAACTAATTGATAAACCAGTGACCATGCGGAGAAGCGTGTGCTGTATGTACAGGACCAAGTTAGATAATTAAATTTGCATTACGCTTGTCTGGGTTGAGGTGTTCTGGTTTGTTTAAAACTTTATTTCTGTGCAAGGGAAAAAGCAATTAAACCTCCTGATTGTATGTTTACGTATATCAGTAAAATGAGACATTTTATGACTTCAAAGATTCTAAATAAAGCTCAGTTACATAAGTAGTTGTGCATTTTTTTAATTTTTTTTTTTTAATTTAAATCACTGTTAAAATCTATTCCATGAGATGTCTGTTTGCTGTTCCAAGTAGGGCTGACGGTTGCCCCTCTCGGGGAGCAGGAGCGGTGGTTGCTGTAGGGGTGATAGAAGGCTGCGGCCCGCGGGGGCCGCCGCCCGCCCGAGACTCTGCATCCAGGTAGCAGGATTGCTGCCGAGCGCGACAGTCACGGGAGCCATCCCCTGCACGTCTGTCCTCTGCCAAAAAGCTGCAGCCGCCCGCCTAGATGGCCCTGGCCTGGTCAGTAGTTTTTAATCAGGGGAACACCAACAAAAGCAGCTCTGTTGAGAAACCAAGGATCTGGGGTACAGGCAGCAAAGCCGGGGGAGAGGAAGAAAGGGATGACGATGAAGGGCACCGAACGACCAGTGTTGTACCAGGAGTAATCAAAGTCAACACGAAGCGTGCTTGCAGGAGGAGCATCTGTGCTGTAGGCATCTTGCAACCCTTCAGAGCCACCGTTTCACGCCTATGTACCGGTGGGAAGGGTTCTCCTGGCTCGGTTTGGGGACTCAGCTGTCAGAGCCTTTTCTTTTTGAGGGGCCATGTGCTGTTCACTGTCCCCCCATCAGCTTTGTCACCTGCGGAGACCTGGAATAACCTGCAGTTTGCAGTGACACCATCAAGGACACCCTTGGCATCACCAGGGGCTGTTTGCATTTCTTGGCTAACTCTGCAAGGAAAAGGGCCAGTTACGCCAATGTTTCTTCCACAGGCTGGGACTGAGGTGCTGTGAGGCATGTTGTCCCCACCGTGGGGACGACAGGGGACAAAGTCTGCCCGGGCACGACCCCCGCTGCCGGGCACTGAGCTTCAGAACCGCCCGCCGGGTCCAGCCACCGTGGAGGGTGGGCTGGTCAGGCAGCGGGTCAGCCGGGAGGGATGGGGGGGCTCTCGCACTGCGCTGCTGCATCAGGAAGCATCAAAATGCCTCTAAATTCCCGGTAATTAATCAAATGGCAATTACCACCCTGGAAGTATGACATAGAGAGAGGCTATTGAGGTAATATGATTATGTCGAGATGGAGCAGTTAATGTACCTTCACCTGAAAGAACTGGAATGAATTAATTTAATGTTACACATGTATAAAACATTAGTTTTTACAGTTGTGCCGAGCATTGATATATAATTCCATTATCATCTTTCTCCACGGTTTCACACTTCTACATCTATAATTTAGCTGTATTTACATTCTGGTTAAACACTGTCACGGTCATTGTTTTTCCTCTTAGCAGCGATGGACATTTTGTTCTCTAACGCACGCAATCCAGCGATAGCTGGGCCTTTTAGGATGGCGACAAATCGGAGATCTGTGTTCTGCGGCATCCCAAACAGAAAAGGAGCGAGGATCACCTTGACTTTGCCTCCAGCCTTGTCCGGGGGGCTCCGAGGTCTCTGCTGCTTGAGCAAGTCTGGGGCGGGGTGGGTGTTGAATTGTTGAATTTATTCTCCATTCCTGCACAAAAAGGAAAATTCACAGTGGCAGCATAAAAAAACCTCTTTATTCCAGATAGTGCAGCCCCTGTTATAGGTCCTGAGCCTCTGTAACTGGTCGGTTAAAATTAAAAATCACATCCTAATCAAAGTAATTGTACCAATTAAACCCGCATTGACATGGGGTTATTCTGCTGCGCTTCCCATCTGGGATGCCCTGGGCAGGATGCAGACCTGCTGAGCTCGGCTTTTCCTTTCCGTCAGTCCCAGGAAACAGGTTTTCTCTCCAGAAATGGCGCGACGCTGCCGTCGCTTTTACAAACTCACCGGCGAGCTGCCACAAGGAGGAGGTAACCCAAAAAAAGAGAGGAGGTCCTCGAAGGTCTCATTTTTCCTGCAGAAAATGTACTTTTTGGGAGGGTTGCTTGTTTGCGCTTTGAATGGGAACAGCCTCTTCTGTCTCATAAAGCCCTTTCTTAGCTTCCCCCCCTCCTTTTTTAACACTTTGATGTGCAGGTATGATGCGACGTCTGTTGAAAATACACGTAAGTGTAGAAGACGGGTTTCTCCTGGCGCTCTGGGAGCTTGTTTGCTGCAGGTTCTGGTTTATCTGCGCAGCAGAAAAGGAGCTGCAAATAAATTCCCCTAAACAGCAAAACGCTCTCCTTCCCGCCTTTCCCCTCTCTGCCATGTGCGCTTTTTTACAGACTTGTTTCCATTCAAGGAAAAAAAAGGGCATTCTAGGCGCTTGTGTGCCGCGGTGCTCCTAAAATGCAAACTCAGCACAAATCTCACTGCGGACGCCCCGTCACGGGGTTTGGGGGGCTCACGCATCCCCCGGCAGCGACGCTGCTCAGCAGAAGCCTTCGTTAGTGCTCGCCGTTATGAGACGGGGAGGATTTGTGCAATGGGAGATGGTGTTTTGCAGCACGGACGTGCCAAAAATCACTTCTCAGCAGCGATGTTGTTTGCTCCAAGCTGTGCTCGGGCTTGAAGCAGCCCCGGTTACGGGTGACCCCCGTGCTGGCGTTCCCAGCAGTTCCCGCCCCGGTTTCTCTGCAGGATTTCTACTCGAGGATAATAGTGGCCCAGTGTCTGCCGCTGCTCCCTGGAAAGCACCTTTAGCCAGTGGAAAGCGCGGGGGGATCGTGCCCGTCGGGGACAGGTTTATTTCTTGGCTGGGGTGTTGCTGCTCCTGGCAGAGAAGCCGGACTTGGTGCAGGACTCCTGATGCTCCCCAAAACCTGCACTGGGGGAAGC